AAAAAATGATTGCTTAACATATATATATATATATATTGAACGTTTTGTTAAAAAGCCTATTACATAAAATAGAGTTAAATTGAATTAAGGAATCAGTACGGAATCCAGTGCTCGAGAACACAATTATTTACTTGTAATGAATTATTTTTTATAAATAAATTAAAAATTTAAGGATAGATTCTTTGTGGTAAACGAATTATTAAATGTTACCGGATTAAGTTACAAAAACCATTGTGTTTCAAATCTATTTAACGACTAGCTCTTTATAATTTTATTGCAATTTTAAAAATGAAAAGTTATCAAAATTATTCTGAAGTTGTTAAATAGCAATTGAGTCAAATGAACTAACACATTTTGTTTGCCAAATGCTTTAACTAAATGATAACTGAATCATTGATTTAAACTGATATAAAAATTTATTGATGATAAAATTTATTTCTTGTGTCGTTTCTTGTTTATTTTAATTTTTATAAGATTTCCTAAAACTAGTTTTTTTTTCTATAAAAGTAACGTAATTTCATAAAATTAGTTGAGTATTATGAAGTTATTTAGCTTTATGAAATTATTATTAAAAGAAGTTAAGTCTAATAAAGAGTCCAATTAGTTTAAGGAAACTAATTCCGTTTAGTAAAATATCATTAAATAAAAACAAATGATTTTAATAACCACAAACGTGCAGATCAATGTCTTAAAATTGGTTAATTTATTGAAATTCGTTTAGTATAAAAACTAGCTCCGTTTAATAAAATTAGTTTCGTTTAATAAATTAAATAAGTTTTTAAAAATTCATGTTTGACAAATGTAAAAAATATTAAATAAAACAATAAAGAATTATGCAGGCATATGTTATGAATAATGTTAATAGAATAAATAATAACAAATTAAATTTGAAAAAAGAACGTTTCCATCTATGAAACATTAACTCAACTCTAAGTTAACTCTAAAAATAGCAACTGGAAATCTAAGTTTGAAAAAAAAAACAATTAACTAATTTCTTTAAATAAAATTAGTTTCATTTAATAATAATATATGATTATTACAGCAAAAAGCACAAAGAACGATTTTATAAAACTGGTGAATTTAGTGAAATTCGTTTAATATAAAAACTAGCTGCTCTTAATTAAGTTAAATAAGGTTTTAAAGCTTCATATTTGGCAAATATAAAAAAATAATTAATTAAACAATAATGAATAATGTGGGCATATGTTATCAAATTTGAAATAAAAAGTTTCTAAGAAACATTTAACTCATTATAGCTATAATATAAGTGAACCCTAAAAATAGCAACAATAATTAATTTTTCATTGTTTTCTTTACTTTGTACTTTTTTTAATTCATCTAAGTTAGAATAAAAGTAAAGAAAACAGTAGCTCCGCTAAATTAGTTGGTCATCATAGCTTAAAAATCAATTTAACAGAGGTTTTAAATGAAAAGCACCTTCCTAATCACGAAAAAACTACCTCCTTGAAAAATTAATTGAATGCAACCTACTTTAGGTAGTATGTTTGAAAGGTTAAGTATCAAGTAACATCATGACTTGGTCATTTTAGAACTGGAGGGATGAAAAGAAAAATGTGACCTTATGACTCACTATTTTAGTTGCTCTTTAGAAGTTTTTCTTCTTCATTTTAGGATCAACAAGAGGTTTCGTTATGAGTTATAAATCAACAAAGGTAGTTTAATGCAACTCACGAAAGAAATTGGCTCATGTTTTTTTTAATTTTTTTATTTCATTTAGATTTTATGTTTTTCTTCAATAATTTTATGGTTTGTTTTTTATTTATTTTTATTAATGCTGCTGATGCACTAGCAGACATAAAGCTGCTGATGTTTTAGAAAAACTTTTTTTTATTTTTATTTTATCCCCTGTCAGCGTTAGGGACTTAGCAATACTTGCAATATTTATTTCCAAAAACTTGTAGATTTATAAAGTATAATTATAATTATGCGCTTATTTAGAAATACTATTAACTATTTACTTTAATTTTTTCTTTTGCTACTTTGATTCAATATTTATGGTATATTTTTCATTTATTTATTTTGATGGTGCTGATACATTTAACAGACATAAAATTATAGATGCTTTCTAAACTACATATTTTTTTTAAAATCTCATCCTCAGTTATTAACAGTCGATGCGCATAAAGAATGCATTTTTCTTACAATATTCATTTCTTCAATTTTGGGCATTTAAAACTTACTATTATAATTTATGAAATTCTTTTATTCATAAAAACTGTTATTAACGAATTTACTTATAATACTTTTTTATTCATAAAACACTTGTATTCTTAAAATACTTTTATTCATAAATATTTTATAATGTTATTCTCAGTGAAGAACCACATAACGGATGAGCCGTTCTTACAAGGAAATGAAAAGCCTGGTGAAATTAATGCACTGTATGTTAATAACGAATCTGATATAAAAAAAACATAATTCAGCTAAATGAAACCAAAACATGAGGAATTTACACCATTCATCGGTAATTTTGCCGTTCATATGGCCGTTGCCGTTTAAAAATTTATGGAGATGGGTATACTTCATGATATCAATATTTTGGCTAGGACGTGTACATGAGACCACTAGCTAAACAGAACTGTCTCCCGGGTCATGTATGCGAGATGCAAGAGTTTTCACTGGTAAAAAATCTCTTTTTGTAAGAGATTTTTTAACGGATCTTGAACACTTTAACTCAGCTGATTTCAAAGTACGCTGTTAGGGATGCTTCTCAGTTATGACTTGTTCAGAAGCAGTTGATAATAAAAAAACGCTATTAGAGGCGTAAGATGAAATTTTCGGGAACGGGTCTCTACGTAATTTTAATACTGATGATGTGTCCTAACTCTCTTAGAAGTTTGTCGCAAAATTTATACGACCCCAGTTATATATAATATTTTTAAACTTGTACGTTTCAACAAAAAACCAAAGATGCCATTTAAAAAAATCCTTAGCTTGAGGAGCAAAGCTAATTTCATATTTGAAATCTCCACTCCCGAATTAGGCGAGATCAAGTATCTGTATAGTATAAATGCAACTAAATTGTTTTCCAGTGTAATTAATTCAAAATAATGACTTGAATCCCTAATTTAAAGTAATTATTTCATTGCAATCAAATTAAAAATATTTTACCTGAACGATACATCAGATTATATCTTCTACAACCTGGACTCTGCAAACTAGCTATTGCTGAATCTGAGTCACTATGATATCCAGATATATCACTGCTACTTGTGTCCTCGTCTCCATCGTCTCCAAGTTCTTTCATCAATTCCAGTACTCGAGAACAACCTTTTGAAAATTTCATTAAAATTGGAGCAACAACTGCATTTGGGTTGACATCTTTTACCTCTTTTTTAAGCTGTGTGAACTGAAATATGATATCTTTATCGATTTCAACTCTTTTTCTTAAAATTTTCAATAGAAGACCCAAGGAATGATCTGTTAAAGTTGGTTCAATGACATTCAGCAGAGATTTGTTTTTAATGAGTCGCTCTTGAATTTCATCTTGTCGGAGACTTAACTGCCTTTGGTGACTTGCTTTTGTTGGTGCTGGACCATAAGAAAGAGATTTAGTGTGCTTTGACGTAAGACAATCCAACTTTTGAACAGCTATTTTATATTGGTGAATTGCTCTCTCCAGTTCAACTTTTAATGCTTCATGTAGGTTCATTAGAATTTTGTCTGATGTTCCTACAAGTCCATGTTGACCAATCCCCTCGACAGCCTTTTCCAGTGCTCTTTTTCTGCCAATCATTTGCTTTTTCAATCTTGGCTCCGATAAAACAATCATCTGAAAATGGACAAACAAAAATGTTGTTTGAAAAATGAATTGTAAAAATTGTGGAGTTACAAATTGTACAAATACCAATAAAGACAATGTGTAAATTAAAATAAATTAAGCTGCAGTGAAAGTTTCTCAAGTTGACTACTTGTTCAACAACTTGTCATTGCTTTTGTGGTTAACTTAGACTGGCATAAATAACTGACTGGTATTTATATAAATTCGTCACCAAAATATAGATCAATGCAGATAAATAATCATTAAAATGTTTTTTAAGTTTTATTTAGTTTTAAAATGAGATTAATTGCAAAATAGAATTAAAATTTGTTCGACGAACTTTTTATTAAATTGATTTGTTAAAACGAACAAATATGCATATTTGGTATTTTAGCATACTAGTAATTTAATGTAAAGAATTTCTTAATGTATCAGTACACAATAACGTATGCAGTTATTTGGCGAACCCCTCCTCAATGCAGTACTTGTAATGCTTCGCTCACAATTCATCACATTTTAATAACGTATCCATTTTTTAACCAATATCGTTTAACGTTTCTTGGGAGTTCTATTTTATGCAAGCAAGAATTTTTGGATAACAGTCATCATCCTAATATTTTTGTGTAGTTGCGTGTTTTAATACATTTACAATTTTAATACATTTTCAATTTTAATACATTTTCAATTTTAATACATTTTTAATTTTATTCACTTTTGTAAACAACTTATCATCTTCGTACCATTTTACTTACTTTGTATATTTTGGATTGTATTCATACCTTTTATCAGATTTTATTTCCCCTCCTCACATGTACTATTTTATCAGTTATGATTGTAAGACAATTAAAGTGTTGTATGCACTTTGCCTTTCGAGCTGTTTTACCGTATTGTTAGGCACAGCATGTCCTCTTTTGGATTTGTTCCACTAAATCCTACATTCAATCCAATCCCAGGCGGCTAGAAAATTTATTATTATATTTATTTGGGTATTTTGATATAATTAATTTTGTTACGCATACAAACAACGATTATTTGCCCATCACAAAATGAAAAAAAAATTTCCGAGAACTGTCAACTCACAAAGAGGCGTGGGCATTTGGTTTCAGATATTTTTTTAATATAATTTCACCAATTTAATGATATTCTAATACATAAGCTAACTGCATAAAACATTAATAATTGTTTTCTGGTCAAATTATAAAGGGTTTAGAATTCCATTCAATAATGCTATTTAACAAATTTGTTTGTTTTACCAGCCCATATGTAAAATAGAGAGGTGACCAGATTACAAGGGTTATACTCCCTTTTGTTACATTGAATAAATTAGGTTCTTGCTAATAGAGGTCAATTTAGATAGGTGGTCAGATAGCATGGGGTTTCACTGCTTATTATTATTTTATTATATTGAATAAATTAGGTTCTTGCTAATTGAGGTCAACTTAGACAGGTGGTCAAATCAGCATGTTTCACCGTTAGTTTTCTCGGTAGAGTATTAAAACTTTATTGATGGATCTTCGTCAAGTAAGGGCGATCTGAGGCTATAATGAGATTATATTTATTATTTCTTGATTTTGTGTACGACATAGATAAAAATAGTATTTTTATATGATAATTTCCTATTTGCTCCAGAAGCTAACATCTTTTCCAGTCAAGAGTTTAATTTAAAACTGTTAAAAAAAAGTGTTTCTCTCTTACCTTGAGGATGTCTCTACGCCCTCACCCTCAAAATCAGGGGGTGACAGTTCTCACTGCCTGCCCCCACTGACCTTCAGGTCAGTGTCAACAACCTCGTTAACTCACTGTGAGGGGAAATCAGGGTCTTGACAGAGTTTAATTCCGATTATCAAAAATGAAAACTTTAAAAAACAAAATTTGAAATTATAACTAAGTTATGATTAATGTTTAAAGTTTAGTTTAACTAAGAGTTATTTATAGCTTAGGAAAAGTTTATCAGTAAAATTTAAAATATATTTCCATTAATTTTTTATTTGTGTCAATTTTTCAATAAAAAGTAAAAAAAAAATACTTAAAGCAGTATATTTAGTATGTTCAATGTTAATTATTGTTTTATTTTTAAGATAAAAAAAACATGAAAAAATAAAGGTACTTATATTAGCTCAAATTTATTACAAGGTAATTATTGTTATTGTAATAACAGTAACAATAAGTAACGGAGTAAAAAAATCTCTTCATATCAGAGATATCGAAAACGAGTTTGTTGAAATTTCAAAATTTTTGACTAAAATATTTTTTTCGAATAATAAATATCACTCGATATTAAGTCGTTATTAATCATTGCTATGTGTTTCTTCTAATATACTAGGTTGTTCTAGTTGTTTGTTAGTTTTATATTTTAACTTATCTTATTAAACTTCATTTTTCCTTAAACAGTGAAAAAAAAGTTTAATTACATACATAATTTTCAAGATTATTAAGGGCAAAAATTGAATTTTAAAAATAATACACATTGAATCTGGACAAAAATTGTTCTGCTATAAAGTATGAAAAGGTTTTACATTCTCTTAAATAATGTGATTTTATGTGTCATAATCAAAAGGTAAAATTAATAAGTCGAGAAGTTTCAGAGAAATCACAATTCAAAATGACTTTTTTTAAAAATCTGTTTAACTGATTTTATTTTAACCTTTGGTTTTTCTTAATTAAAATTATCAAGTGCGGAAGTATTTGTGTTAACATGGTGTGCCCATTTATAGGCCTAATATTTTTTAAAAACACAAATTTAATCATAGATAAAATAAGTAATTCTTAAAACTTGTTTTTGCGCAATTATCTTTACAAGAAAAAATTTGTAACTGAAAAAAAATATTTTTGATTCTTAGCGTTCTCTAAAATTTTTAACGTAAAATGCAAAATATTTATAAATGATAACATTAAAGGCCCGAAACATTTCGAACGCTCATTTTTCTATACTTTTAGGTTCATATTTTTCAAATTGTGGTTGCCCACATACTTTATGAGTTATTAATTCGAAACTCTCGAAGAAAATTTAAGTTCGTTCGAAAAAGTATCCGTAGAGGAGGTAACATTTGACTGTGTCATGATTTTGGACAAAACTGTTTGTAATATTGTCTCATATTTTTTTTTTCATAACGTCGTCCTGATGACTTACATTTTGTATCCACTTCCTTTTTTAAGTGAATGGGTTTCAGTGACAGTTTTAATATCGTTGTCTCTTTACGACTTAAATTTATTAAACATATCTTTTTAGAAAAAATTTAAGAAATGATTTCTGCACAGACAAAAAAAGCATGGTCAGAACTACCAGAAAATATGACAAAATTACAGTTTTTCTGGCTCTATGGGAATATCAAAAAGCTCAGCAATTTTTCTCGAAGCGCTATGGTAATGATTTTGATAAAATTAACAATAAAAAATGATTGCTTAACATATGATAAAAATTTACAGATGTGGTAATATTTGGCAATATTATCATGATACCTGGGAGGCATAAAAACTATTTATTTGAATACATTTACTTTTCAGTTATGTATTTTTTGCTAAATATGTGGTAAAAACTTAAGTTTCAAGACCAGAATTTTCGGTAAACCTATACCGTAAAAACGGAAAAATTACCAAATGTATGGTTTAAATACTATATATTTTGGTTCTATTAACCAGAAATATGGTTTATTTATTTTTCCCAGAATTGTAATTATCATGCAGTTTGCTAATTTCAACAGATTTTTTTCTTCTCCGTCTGAAAAGTTCATGGGGCAATTTCTTAGAAATTAGTATTTTTAGAATATTTGTTTGGGATATTTGTTTGATTTATTCAAACCGAAAGAAATTAGGAGGTACTTTTAAGTATGATATCGATAGGTATTGTTGACTCAAAATGGGAGAAAATAATTAATCTCTAACAAAGGCTTTGATTACATAAAGCAATATTTTTACTGTGCTTATATTTATTTCATTCCAAGTTGGCCTTCTTATATATCAGAACTAATAAAAGAATTCCAACAGCGCATCAACCATTTTCTGCGTTTTATTACTAACAAGATTTTTAATGAAATGGTGTATTATTCTTCCTTATTTTGGAAGCATAGTATATGTGCACTTCATAAGTCTGGTATATATATTATTATAATGAAATAAGAATGAATCTTTTAAAGCGTATCATGTGCAAAATTAACATTTCTTATAATGCTGTGTTTGTCAGAACAGTTGAAAAACAAACAAACAAAATAGTTGTAAGTCAGATAAGCTTCCTGAGTTATACTTTATTAGACTTTTTATTGTTTTTTATAAATTTATGTTTTATCAACTAATACATGAACTCTCTGATTGCCGATTGGTAATTTTAATAAATAATAAAGTTTTAATGCTAGTAAACTGTAAAAAAATTACGGATCATATAAATTTATAAAGTACTGGCACTTTTGGTGAATCATCCGTAAAATTCACTGAACCGTAAAGTATTATACCGTACTTTTTACAGTAGTATCGATTTAATTAGAGTGATTTAGTGATTTTATAATAATTATTGCTGTAAAAATTACGGTATTAAATTTCTTTTCTGGTAAAAGTGAATTTTGAGGTAAAAGGTACAGGCACCCTAAGTACTGATACTTTTTACTTTGATTTTATCAGGAATTTTTTTTATAGAGTCTGATATTTAAATTAATGGGTTTGGAATAGCGTAAAGATTAGAAGAGAAGAAATTTTTAGAAGCATTTTTTTAAGAATTATACAACGATTTCCATGTAAGCAATAAGATGTTTCTGTATATAAGCTGTAATGAAGTATGTTATTATGTTTCATAGTTGTCGCTTTAGTAAATTCATGGAAAAGTAAAAATCAGAAGAATAAAAGTGAAGATATAGTAAGTTTTATCTACGCTGATGATCTATGTTTATTTCGGTTGTAAATATTTAAATATTAATTTTCAAGTAAACATTACATTCTCAAAATATAGTTCTGAAAACTCGAATTTAAAAGAAGTCTTATAATAAAAACTTGATTTCTCAGGAACTATTCGACCAATTTATTTC